ATCTATCTATCTATCTATCTATCTATCTATCTATCTATCTATCTATCTATCTATCCATCCATCCATCCATCCAACTATCCACCCAACTATCTTGCTTAGATTATGATAGAATGAACTATAGGAGAAAAAAATAGGAAGAAGCATACAGGAAACAGGTACAATTCTACAGTTGGACATATTACAGTATCATGATTGTTTGCAATTTTTTTTCTGCAACTTGGGATGTGTTAATGACAGAGGGTAGTAAAATTGGAAGGCTCAAACATTCTCTTTGCTGGTCACATGTTATACAGGTAGTCCTCAAATTATGATCACAGGTGAATGCAAAATTTGTTAAATGACTTTTACCCTATTTTATGATCTTTTTAAACCACAGTTGTTAAGCGAATCATGCAGTCTTGAAGTGAATCTGGCTTTTCCATTGACTTTGCTTGTCAGAGGCTGATTGGGAAGGTTACAAATAGTAATCACATGACTCCTGGACAGTGCAACTATCATAAATAATGCCAGTTGATAAGCAACTAAATTTTGATCACATGACCATGGAGATGCTACAATGCTCATAAGTGTGAAAAATAGTGGTAAGTTGCTTTTTTCAGTGCTGTTGTAACAGTCACTTATGAATGGTTGTAAGTCAAGGACTACCTGTTGGACAGCATCTGGCAAGGACAATAACCTTCAAGTTTTCTGCCAACTTAAGGACAGCCATTAGCAAGAGTGATAGTACTTAGACTTATGTACTGCTTTATGGTGCTTTACAGCCCTCTAAAGCAGTTTACAAAGTCAGCATATTGCCCCCAACAATTTTGGTCCTCATTTTGCCCACCTTGGAAGGATGGAAGGCTGAGTCAACCTTGAGCCTGGTAGGATTCGATCTGCCAAATTGCAGTAGGAGTAGCTTGCAGTACTGCACGACCGGGGCTCCTTAACTCAACAAAGAACAAAGTTTTCATCTCTTCTGTTTTCAAGCTACATATCAGTAACTGCTTATGAAAACATACATGTTGCTTTGATAGATACTTTTTCTATTTTCCCCATCAATCTCTGGTAGCTTATATAAAAGAATACCAAGTTTTAGTGGGAGCTTTAGTTTTCTGACTACCCTTATCCCAAGACCATAAGGGCTAGAAATAGTTAAATAGTTTCTTCCTCTGGCATTCTTCTTACAGCTGTTGGAAGTTTAACAAAACAAAGCATTACAGAAAAGATAACTATGACTGCTTATGATATGTTAAATTTTTCTCATTTTGCCCCAGGAAAAATAGCTAGTTCTCTTACCTTTCCAAACATATTCAAAGCTGCATTAAGAGGTGCCCTAGATTCCAAGGCAAGGAATTACTGTTTCTTGTGTATTTGGAGATAACTAAATACACACACAAAGATGTGTCTAAACAAAACAAAAGAAATGCTGAACCAAGTCAAAGAGGTTTTTAATACATGAATTAAGGCTAAAATGATGATTCCCAACTTAAATTTGATTTATTTTATAGCAAATCTTTGAATAAATTGTGCAGGTTAATATAAATAATACTTCACAGTTTTTTTTTGTTTACTTCCTTTGTGTTTTCTTTAATAAAAACACTTCATTATTTTTAAGTCCATCTTTCCAATGTTTGTCCTAGAATTTAAATCCCAAAAGGCCAAGTGCCTTAGGGAACATGGGAAAAGGCCCACTTCCTGGAGAAAACTAGTTCCATGTGGACTTATAGACTGTAGACAAAAGGATGACTGTGCCACTTATATCGAAGTACAACACTGGTTAGTTGCAAAATCTGTGTAAGCTTTAACAGTTGTAATTCATCATTTGAAGAAATCTTAGTTTAGTTCTTAACTTCAAAATATCACATATTAAATTCTAAATAAGGTGTATTTTTCATATTTTTAGCATTCGTTTTTCTCTAGTATAGTGACTTAATATTGGTGGAAGGGAGTTTAATCCAAACAAGATGTGACTTTTTTTGGGGAAAACTAATTATATATCCTTTTGTTTGTAAACATCTTCAGATTTTTGATCTTGGGAGTCTTCAGATTGATTCCTTTAATTATCTAAAAGCCTTATTCTCCTGGAATTTATATTAGAAAGAGCACCATAAATTTAGGAATGGAAAGGACAAGAGAGATCCATTTGGCTTAGTAAGGCACCTTCATCTAAAAGTTGAAAAGGATCCATCACTGTAGCTATTGTAAAACTTGCTTATTTTTTGTGTAAGTGCTTTGCAGGGCTGTAGTCAGCTGATGGTTGTGTTCTTTTAAGGTAAGGGCCAGAATAGTATTAACTTTGTATGTAAAAGTAATTCAAATAACAGTTGACAGGCATGGAAACAATTGTGCTGTTTGTCTGCAGAAAAAGACCCAGTAGTCATTTCTACCATTAACACTGGGCACTGGCTGTATATGTTAATCTGGAGATCAAATTAACAACCTGGCAGGTACAGGGCGAGAGAACTCCAATTAAATGAATGAGTGATGATTCAGTCTAATACAGTTTTGGATTGTGTATCTTGCCATTTCCAGTTATGAAGGCATATTAAATGTACAAGAGTATCCAAAATTCCAGAACACGCATTAATTTCTTGCTGAAATTATGCTTTATTGTTCATAAAGGCATATTATCTACATATGTACTGGGTGCAGGGCAGAGGTGGTATTCAGCAGGTTCTGACCAGTTCTGGAAAACCAGTAGTGGAAATTTTGAGTTGTTCAGAGAACCGGCAAATGCCACTTCTGACTGGAGATTTTACAGTATCCTTCTCCTACCATGTCCACCAAGCCACACCCACAGAACCGGTAGTGAAAAATTTCGAATCCCACCACTGGTGCAGGGCTCACCTTGAAGGAAGTTCCTTGAAGGAACTTCAAGAGCAGCCCTTTCTGCTAGAGTTACATTAGTGCAACTCACATACAGATGATATCAATTTGTGGAATCTATATCAGAGAGCCTTGCACATTTATGCTAAATTTTTCTACTTTTAATATGAAGCGTGTCTTTTAAAAATTGCCTTTAGTTCTATCATTGCTACATTTAACTAACTAAAACTGTCTCCCAGACATTCTTAATAGCATCACTTGTGAGAAAGGCTATGTTGATTGGGAACTTTATAAACTGTAGTCTTAATATATCTAGCAAGATCTGGCAAGAAAGCGGGGAGGGAAATCCTATTTTTGTGTGCTGACTTCACATGTAAACAATGCCTGTAAAAGTAAAACAATATTTATTAAGATTATATTCGTTCAGTGAAGGTTTAATCTAATCCCAAAGCTAGCTTTTCTGGTTTAGTTATGCATAAACAAAATAGCAGATTTCTGACTACAAAGAGCCCAAGATAATCCTTAGCTATTTGCATGATAATATTCTCATATGAAAACAAGTAAAATAGCATCAGAATAAACAACTAAATGGAAAGGAGATGAGGACAAAACATCCCCTATATACCAATCAATTTCATAACAAACAATTGGGAATAGGAGCTGCTCCACTTGACGTATAAGTTATGTTTTTTTGTATGTGTGCCTGCTACCCATATATAGAAATGAACAGAAAATGCATATAGACAAGACTGATATTCACTCAGACCACTGATTCTTTCTCCTAACATACCATGCAAAGGGTTACATTCCACGTGGGGGGAGGGGTTAAAACAACTAGAGAATCAGAGTTACTGGAAAAAGCAGGCTGTACTCCACATTTTCCAGACTAAAGACATGTTAAGTGGCCTCTTTTTGCTGGACACATAAGCAAGACAGTTAATCTTTCTACTGATAGCAGGGCCCACTTATACATAGAAGACATTCTTAACCTGGACCTTTTGGAATCAAAACCATTCTTAAAAGCCTTAAAAGGTAACAGACCAGGCTTTCTGTTAGACATGCAATTCACATGACTCCTGGTGCACTTTGTTTTTAATACACAGATAGGAAGTATTTAATCACTGGGATTTTAAAAGTCAGTTTTGATATTACAAGTGATATCTACCAATAAGCACAACACACACAAAAGATCAGAATCCAAGTATTCTTATTCCCTGTAAGAGAATTCTCTTTAATTTTTTTTTGCTTCCTACCTTCTTCCTCTTGCAAGAAACTTAATAGGCTGATTAAACACCTTCCTTATTCATCTCCTGCCAATTCAGTCTGGTACATACTCGGTCTTTATTTCTTCTTTTGATTATATGAGAAGATACTTATGGTGAGAAATGGGTATGTTGAGGAATTTGTATTGCATCCAATCATCTGCTCTGCTGTGTAGAAACTCCTGAGTGTTTTAATTCAACAACATCTGGAGATTCCCTGGGCTAAGGAAAAGCGCGGGTCATAGTTGTTTGCTTATAAATCCAAATTATCTAATATAATTTATACATGACAAATAATGAGTATATGTTATGTCCAGATAGGCAAAATTCAAAGAGAATTAAACTAGACCTCTGACTCCCTGGAGTTCAAGAGGGAGGGAGAGGAAGACTGAGGCAGGCCTGCAAGACCTGCATTCAGCATTCTTCCTGCGGAGTTAGTTTTGTCAGACTCTATTCATTAACTGGGAGAAACATGGTTAACAAAGTCAGCAAGTGAGTAAGCATGGCAACAGACCAACCAATGGGAACTGAATTGAGGGCTGGAAGGAGTCTGGGTTGGCTTAGCTTCACGCTCTCAATTCTGAAAGTAAAACTAATTTGCTTGCTTGCTGAAAACTGATATCTGCTCTGAGTTGCTGCTGCTTGTGTTTTTGCTTATGTAATGTTGAAAGAATCTACAAATGGTATTGTAAACTTTATTCATGTTATGTTTATAAAGAAGTTAATGATCCTGCTGAATCAGTCATCTGTGTGTTTTCTGAATTTGAATTTCTGCTGCAAACTAACAAGTTTTCTGATGAAATTGTAGTTTTAGGCAATTAGCTCTTAGTCTTTAGTCTTACCATCTTTAAGAATAATTGTGGTTAAAAATACTTGAGAAAAGGAAATTTTAGTGGACTTGTTATTGAGCAATATGAAATAACATATGAAATAACACTAATATTAGTGCTGTATGTTTCTAGAATTTACTCATGAAATAGAAAAGTTATCTAAGTTAACATTGCTTAAAATTACTTATTAAAGCCTTAACAGCCATTAATCATTTGATTTTAATGTAGGTATAGAATTTTTATTCTGGCTGAACTTTCTTTAGTTAATGGTTTAATTATTACATTTGTATTCCACATTTTTTCCTCTGGGAGTTGAAGGTGTCAGATCTGAAGAATTTCCACTTACTTTATTTTCACAAAAACCATGTAGCTGAGCTGACAAAAAGTGACTTAATGGGACCTAAATTTAGAACTCTTTGGTTGAAATCTAACACTAGTGTAATCACTAGATTACACTGGATCTTTCATGCAAATCAAATATGTTACTGAATCTTTCATGAAAATCAGTATGTTATTGGAAAGCAGAGACTAAAATGTAATTGGACTAAAATGTAAGCCAAAATTACGTATTCTGGTGATGCGGTGATCTGGTTGCCTATCTCAGTGTGTATGCATAGACTGTGTATGTGTGTGTTATGTCTGTGACGGGGACATTAAGGATTGTGCAATTATCAAAAAGGAATAGTGGGGTAAAGATTTGGTTACAGCCCTATATATAGATATTTTGGAGCAAATATTTTCTGAATATAGTGAGACTTAAAAGAAGATATTCTAATATTTCGACTATAAGATTCTATGGCAACGAAGAGTAATCTAGAAATAGCTTTGATGCATTCAATAGCTTCAATAACTTTAATTCTGAATAGATACTGTTTTGGGTTGGACTCTTTTTTATGCAAAAATATCATTAGCAATTCTTTTCTGAATATGTTCTGAAAATACGTGAGGGAGGTTTATTATGAACCAGTAAATAATGCAACTTAATTTCATTATTACTTCAAATAAATCACATTCTCATTATTCCATTTTGTTTATGACAAATATATTAGAAAAATTCAAATATGCAAAAATATATGTTTAGTTCATGTGTATTCTTCGTATAGACCAGGTGCTAAATGTTCAACAACTTTTGTGAGAGAATTCTGCTGATATGACTGGCCAAGGCCCATTTATTTAGGAACAGGAGATATACGATGTAGCATTTTAGCAAGCAGAATTAGACCTGATGGTTGTGAAATGGTCTTTTCAAATCAACGGCAAAGATAGAAATATTTTCCTAACAATTTCAATTGTCATAATTTTTGTAGTCGTATCTATGCCAATTACTCTTTTGTGTAGAATAGAGGTGGGAAATGATGCCTTTTATGACTTGTGGACTTCAAGTCCCAGAATTCTGCTAGCTCAGGAATTCTGCGAATTGAAGTCCACAAGTCATAAAGGGGCCGTCGTTCCTCACCTCTGGTGTAGAACAATTTCTCAGCTTGGCACTCTCCAAAAGTGAGAATCAGCTTCTAAAATTCTTCAAAAGGATAGCCATTGCTCTAAATCTTGAGCCTTGAATCCACAGTTTTGGAAGTTTCTAAATGTGAAAGCTGGTGAAAAATGTAGCCTGCATATTCTATGGAAATTACAGAATGCTACTGCAAGTTACTTAGCCACATACCTGTCACATTTGATGTCTTTGCAGTTTTACGTTACAATAAAAGACTGGTGGCTCTTTGGTTTCTATTTCTGCATGCCACTTGCTTGCACGGCATTCTTTTATACCCTGATGACCTGTGAAATGTTGAACAGGAGGAAGAGTAATTTGAGAATTGCTCTCAGTGAACATCTTAAACAGGTAAGGAGAAAATGTTTTTGACATGCATTTCCAGTCACTGTGATAAAAGCTTTATCCTGTAAACTTTTGATGTCAACAATATTCATTCTGAGAACAGAAAGGTGAGTTTTGACTTAGTGTAGTTGGGCAATCAGAACATTAGGAAAATTTAAAGTGCAATTGATTAATGAGGTAATCTATTATAGAGTTCAAATTACTTCCTCTATGGATTTTTTTTATTCACTAAGAACTTTCTTTGATCTAATACCTATTCCAAGTATTGGGTATCAGCTGCTATAATTGCCAACCATTTATTCATTCATTTATTCGATGACAATGGCCAAACGACTCTGGGCAATCTACAATACACCAAAACAATACAAAAATAGTATACCAAACAATAACAAAATAGGATGACTGAGAAAAATGAAAGGAAGAAGAGCAAAATGGTAAACCTGGCAAGCCCCCCCCCCCCCCAAAAAAACCCCATGCTGCCCACAATTGACATCCAACAAAGCAGGCGCCAAACACCGAAACAAATAAATAAATAGTCCAAGGCCTGAAAGAACAACCAGGTCTTTATAGCTTTTTAAAATGCCAATTGAATAGGAATCATCAGGGATCAAATTTCCTAATATTTTATTATCAAGAAATGTCATCTTTCTCTAAGATAATTCTTTATTTTGATTTTTCTCTTCATCGTTCAATCAATATAAAAGCACTGCATTTCTCAAGGGTTTCAATTTAATTTTAATTGTATTATTTAAACCAAATTCCTGAATATCAAAGTTGTTGAGAAAGATGAATTCTGTTTTAAGTGTTAGAGGATTACAGCACCACAAAGTTTGATAACTTACAACTTTTGGTATTGTATCTTGTCACATTTTTAAAGTTTGTTGAATAATACAACTTTTTAAAAGCATGTGGATATAATCTGATTACTAACTACTTTGATATTTCTTATGTTGAATTATGTTGATGTTGAATTATATTGAAACTGGTTGTTGTCTAATTTAAATACAACTTCTGCTGGGTTTAGGACAATTCAGTGCAGCCAACTCACCACGGCCAACTCGTTGCGGGACAAAGAAATGATGGAATAGAATAATTGAATAAAGGATGAAAAATGAGGAACAAAATGAAATCTGAATGATAACAATTAAAATATTTTAAAAATTATCTTTAATATTTAAATTGAATTGTTGAATTGTCCTGCAGTGAGTTGGCTGCAGCATTGTGACAAGTTGGCTGCACCAAGTTGTCCCATTCCAACCTCTGCTTGCCTTCATGATATTTGAACTATGAATACTTTCTCTGATATTTTTTAGTTGTAATTTTTTTGTTCCATAAGTGAATATATTTTGACAAGTTGTTAGAAATAGATGAACCTTTTCTTGACTATTGTTCATTTGAGCAATTTCCACATTTTTCTTCTTACTTGCTCCACATTTGCCTTGGCTTATGTTTGCGGATCATTGTCTTTTTTTTCCTCCATAGCGCCGAGAAGTTGCTAAAACAGTTTTCTGTTTAGTTGTGATTTTTGCTCTTTGCTGGTTTCCTCTGCATCTAAGTCAGCTACTGAAATCAATGAAGTATTACGAACATGACCCCAATAGATGTGAATTCCTCAGGTATTGTCTTAATGTGTGATATTAAATAATTTGATGAATGCAGCAACACAATAAGTGAATTAACATGACTACATAATATTTTATTCTATTCTATTTACTAATCAATTCTGTACTGTATATGATTATAAAAAGATGACCATTTAATTAACATAAAACAACCAATACTCCTTAGCAGTTAACAGCTGCTCCAAGATACTGCTGGTTGCCTTATTTAAGATTCCCCTCTCTCAAGGACCTGCGGAAAAACCACTGTTTTTATTGCTTTACTAAGCGCTAGGTGAAAGCTGTCATCACCTCTTCACCAAATAGCTCCTAAGTGAATGGTCTGCAACTAGAAAGGTCATATTCCAAGACCCCATTCCTAAAGGAATGATAATCTAAACTACTATTTAGCTAACACATATAGAATGAACAAAATCCACATGGAATAGATGGTCCCAAAGCAACAAAGAATTGAGCAAAAAAGAGCCTTATATATATGGACCAAAATTTTTAATTGAGCCCAAAATTTTACAGGCAACGAAAGCAGCAGAGGTGTAGTGTACTGAATCAGTTTCCATTGGACTGCAAGCAGCCATCTTTGCTCAATGCCAGCTATAAGTTTTGGACACTTGAGGGCATCCCATGTAAAGTTTAATAGTCAGCAAATGATAGGAATGTGACTCACTGTAGTCAGTACTTCTGTACCTGAAAGGTCACACATCCAACCTGGTCAAAGGCTCTTCTGGTCACACTGCAATCTAGTGATCGGATTTATCAGAACCATGAATCTAGGATAAACACAGGCTAGTTCACCATCTTTTTCAAGGAAAGTACAACTCAATTGGGAGCCACGGATATAATTACCTTTGTATATCAAGATTTCTTTCTTTTTTCTTTGCTTTTTTTTGCATCTTTAAGCAGCAAGAGTGGAGACTTTGATACTTAGCCCTAAGACTCAAAAATATCTTCAGAATTCTTTTCCTTATTGTTAAAAATAGGGTAGGATGGGATTTTTTATGGTTAATTTTTTAATCCACAATATACTGAACACTAACTGCATAACTTTAATAACTTTCAAATTCATTAATAATTAATATAAGATATAAACATGACTAGTCAGTCTTTCCTCTAGTTTATCTCCACCTTCTAAATAAGGGTGTTAAACTTCTTGGGATACTGCAGTTCCATTTGATTTTTAAGTAATGCACTGGGATCATTTTCTAAAAGGTGAGGAAGGCCAGGACAAAAATTAAACTTGAATTAAATATAAATATAATTAAACTATAATAATTTAATTATATGTTAATGCAATATATTTAATAACTTAACCCTTCTTCAAGCATTAAAATTCAGAAGCTATTTGGTGAAGAGCTAAAGAGTGGTGTTCCCAAGGATTTGGGCATCACAGGCAACCTAAGATGAAGGTTATATACCTTAGCTTTGTAATATTACATTACCTGTTTTTGAAGCAGGTGAAAAGACAGTTGCCTTCCAGCTATTCCAGTAATTAACCAGGCAATCTTACAATTAACCTCTATTGAGCCTACTCTCAAGTAATTAGAAAGAAGGATAGTAGTCTTTAGGTCTGTTTCTTCTTAATTATACAAAATACAGATAGTATTTACTTATGAGCAGGCACTTAGCAACAGTGAACAATGAATCAACCAACAGATATTTACAACCCAATTTTGATGTCCAAGTCTTCCCCTCATTATGTGATTGTATTTTGGTTGCTTGGCAGCTATCCTGCATTTACAGCTTTTTGCAGCATTCAGTGGTCACATGACTACAATTTATAATGTTTCTTTCCTTGTAAGTTGGCATTTACTTCTATTTTCTGGCAAAAAAATGTCCATTGTGGCTTTGCTTAACCATCACTGTGTTTGCTTAATGACTCTAGCATTTGCTTAGTGATGGCAACATTTACATAGCACCTGTAGTGTTCACCTAACAGCCACCGCAGAAAAGATCAAAAAATTGGGTGAAGTCACATAATAATAACCTGCTTAACAACCACCATGACTTTAGGTCATAATTCTGGGCTCAATTGTAACTCGAGGACTTCTTGTTATACCATCATTTTTCCTGTCAAACTCACATTATATTTTAAATGGTTCCAGAATTATACTTTTTATAACCCATTTTGTATTATGCTTCTGTTCATTTATAAATGTTTTGTTATTTAAATGATGTTTCATAGTCCTACTTTTTCTAATTCTCCTAAGCACCTGCAATTCTGTTAACTCATTTTTACCTGAGATGCTGGAGAGTTATGAAGGAAACCCAGCTGTGTTATCATAGTTTCACAAAATTATAATGGCTGAGGAATATTTGCCCACTATTGGAAGATTGTAACATTTTCTGTTTTTGATTCTAGCTTTTTGTTGACTATGAATTATGTCAGCCTTAACCTAGCAACCATCAATTCCTGCATAAATCCTATAGCACTCTATTTTGTGAGCAAGAAGTTCAAAAATTGTTTCCAGGTAAGAGCCAAAGAGATTAAATTAAACCTATCAAAAGTAATATTGAATAATAAAATGTGAAAGGTAAATATGAAAGAATACTATTTATCCTTTTCCAAGTTGATCCCATGTTTTGAAATATTAATATTTAAATTATACAACCCACTTTCTGCCTAAACAAACATTTGGGAACATTTGTCTGGATGTTTTACAGCAGTCTTTTCCAACTTAGTTTCCTTCAGTTGTGTTGAACTTTGAGAATTTCCAGGATTTTGTCATAGTGGCTGACAATTCTGGAACTTTTTCAAATACATTTGGAAAGCATTGAGGAGGGCTATAATTATGGTCTGATGTCATTAGATTATTTTGATAACCATTTAACACAGTTTAGTCACAAGCCCATCAATTTTCAGACATTAGATGAAGACTCATAATAAGATCTCTTTACAAAGAGATGAGGTGTCATTTTTTACTAGCAATATAGGTATTTCAATCATTACTAATGTTGATACAGCTATATACAAAACTTAAATAGGCTGATTCCTGATTCTTCAGTAATTATACATAATCCCAGAACTAAAAACTTTCTTCACATTATTCATATGGAAATGACATTTATCAGTGGAAGGTTTCCTGAAGGGGAAAGGGAAATCACTTCAGAGCTAGTCAGAAAGTGCCAAAATAATAGAAGCTCAAGAATTTTTATATGGTACTAAACTTCTTTCATAATTTAGTCCACTTCACTTCTTGCTTTTAAAAGAAGAGAGAATTAGCTGAAATACAAATCATATTTGTTTATAATAGCACCAGTTAAAAGAAGCTATATTTTTTATATCAATTTCAAATCCCTTTTCTACATTTCATACTTTTTCAGTCTAATTAAGCTGAAAGTATGGAATAGTTAAACAAAAGAAGAACATTTTTCTTATCAGTTCACATTTAATTACATATTAGTCACAGTTTAACAAGGAATTAAGTACATTTAAGAATAAATTTACCCTGTATTTTATTGTTACTACACATTCCATTTCTGAAGTATAATTTCACTCAGGCCTAATTCTGCTTTCTACAGTCTGGAGAATTCTGCTCTCCACTGAAAGTGACCCTAAAATAAACCAACAAACAAACCAGTAATGTTTGGATTTTTTTTCTCTTGCCAGTCATGCCTCTGCTGTATCTGTCATCGGACAGGAAATCAGATGTCCTCTGTCCCCATGAATGGGACCAGCATTCAGTGGAAAACTAACGAACTGAATAACCACAACACAGAACGGAGCATCCACAAAGACAGTTTAAATTGAGATTCAGCAAATATTGTGTTTCTGAATCTAAGGAAAAGACAACAGATATGATATCTACGATTGAATATACTTATTTATTTGGAAGCTCTGTGCTCTAGCAGATAATTCCAGAGATAAGCAGAAAGAACAGATGTGCATAAGTGAGTCCCTAAATGGATTCCAAATGGTTCTTTTTCTTATAAAGAAATTCATTTTTGGCAAAAACAAGAGGAATCAACCGGTACTCATCAAAGTATTCACAGATTCCAGCCAGAATATGTAGCTGTATGTTATGTTACATATTCTGTTATATAATTTTAATTTTATAATCTAAATGAATTTTCTTGAATGTCAAGAATTGTGAAAACATGGGACCTGTATCTAGTCTGTACTATCAACATTCTTTTGTCAGGAAATATTTTAGCTATATACTAGGTAGTCCTCAACTTACAACTATAATAGGGACTGGAAAATTTGTTAAGTGCTGCTTTCACAAAGGGAAGTATCACATGTCTACATCCAATTTTACCACCATTTTTACATAGTCAAGTGTAAAATAATTATCCATAGTTATCAAGCAAGATATCACCTGACTATGGCTTGAGACCTTCCTCCAGGCTTCTTTGCTGACTTTGTTAGAAACAAACTGCTGGGAAAGTTGCAAATGGTGATCGTGTGACTGCAGGATGTTGCAACCATCACAAATATGCAATGATTAGCAAGCTACTGGAAAATTATCTTTTGTGGGTTAGATTTTTCCAACCACTTGTTTGTGGGTACAGATATCATATCAGGACTTAGCATTTATGGCATAAACATGTCCACAAGGTAGAGCAGTGTATTAGCAGGCAAATTTTAAATAAACTATATAATCATGTGACTGTAATCACCATGTGACTATAATCATGTGACCGCAGAGATCTGACTGCAATCATAATTATGTGGCTGCAGAGATGTTGTGACGATTGTAAATGTGAGAAACAATCAAAAATTACTTTTTTCAGTACTGCTGCAACTTTGAACAGTTGTTAAATGAGTGGACATTAAGCAAGGACTACCTGTATTTCATGTTCAGAAGCATGTTCAGCCAAAAACATTTTTATAACTAATATATGTGTTAGATTAGATCTAAGCAGTATTTTATATGTTGTAATGTAACAAATGAGAAATAATTTGGAAATTTATTTTTTGTTGGGGGGGGGCGTTGGCCAACCACTGGTTTGTGGGTACAGATATATCAGGACTTAACATTTAGGACATGAACTTATGCCCCAAAAGGTAGAGCAGTGTATTAGCAGGCAAATTTTAAATAAACCATATGCAGACACAAAATGATATATGTTCTCTGTGAAAATACCTTTTTCAATAGCTATACATATTTGTCCGTAGCAAATGATTCCAATGTTGAAATGTCCTCACTTTTTTATTACGTTCAACTGGAATCTATCTTCTGACAAATTAAGACCATTATGCCATATCTATCACTCTATTTGTGATAGTTATTCAGATATTTGAAAAAATGCTTTTAAATTTCCCCTCAGATTTTTCAAGGTCAAACATATCCACATCTTCTCATTTCTTCTCAAAAGACTTATATTTCCTTGTTATCCTTCTATGCATCTTTTTCAGTTTCTCATAACCCCCCCTCCCAAAATCACACATGATCTGGTTATCTAATGTAAAAATAGCCACTTTTAAATTCTATTTCATAAAGTGAATGCTACATTTTCAATTGTTAATGATATATTTAAGATTGATAATTCTGGCATTCTGCTGCAGACAAATCCTAAAAAATAAATCTGGTGGGCAGAATCAAGATGCAAACCATGGTCTTTCTCTGCCTGCCTTTTTTCCTGTTTTGCTTGGATACCTTTTTTTCTCTGTTCCATTTTTCTTTCTTTTGCTACCACAACATGTTGCCAAGGAATGGGGAGATCAACTGTCCATACTTTTGACGTGGTCTCTTTTGAAAGATTGCCGAAATTAGTTGGGAGAACAACATGTGGCCTGAATCAAACATTCTTTGTAGTTCATTTTGGAGAAATAAGATTTTACAAAGGATTTCTACAAGAAATTACATCGCACTTATATGTGCTTATAGAAACCATTCTCTAAAAGAAAAGCACATCTAATTCCTGCCTAGGTAAATATGTATTAAAAAAAACTCTTAGGTGTCTAAATGAATTTTTCAAAAGAGGCTATTGAACATATTCTTCTATTTAGAGGGGACACTAAAGGGATGAACAAATAGGTTAATTTTGAGTTTTCTTTTTTTCTAGGTTTTCTAGTCTTAATTTTTTAAACCAATTATTCATTACATTAATAATTTTTTTTTAAGTATGCATATGAAAATTCATTTATAAATTTACAAAACTTACTGTTTGTAATTTGTAATACTACACGTCTTATCAAGCAAGTTGCCAAATAATATGCATCCTGCATATTATTCCCACTAATATAGACATTTTTGTGCACTCTTCCATATCATACAACCACAGTTTCAGTTTGCATATTGGTAAAAAGTTACATTAAAATATCAAGGAAATGTTTTCACCTTTAGAAAGGAACTTGAGCTGAGACTCATATTCTGCTTCTTAAAGAGTTGTGCAGTATTGAACCATTTCTTAAGGCAGCACGAGATCTTGCTTTTGGGCTTATGGATGCCTAGAGATAGCTGGAATGTATTAATGAATAGCAAAGGGTGCTTTTGTTCACACAAAGTCCACAACACTTCTGAATGAGTTTTCAAAACTCTTCATAGAAATAATATTTGGACAGAGCTGAGATAAATCCCAGTGAATTCAAATTTTTTTTTTTATAAAACATTTTTTTATTTTAACAACAAGTCAGTGAATTCAAATGTTGTTACCTGTTATAAATAGGTAACTCAGCAAATAACAGCACTCAGCTGATTTCGGCTGTTCTTGAAATCTTAAGCAAATCCGGTCTAGTTAGTTGAATGGAGATCTTAGGAAATTCCAAGGCTGTGAAAAGATAGGAAATAATTTCTATACTGCTGTCAAACAACCTATAGTATATGGGCCTTTAAAGATAAACAATTCAAGGGAATCTTGATTTTTTAAAAATAAGTAAATAACAATTCTTTTGTTTCCTGGGGTGCCTAATGAACAGTAAGATACCTAGTTCCTCCTCCTAATTGGATTCTAATTTTAGAGGAAGGAACTTTTATTAACTTTATTCTTTTCTCTGATAATTCAGACCAGTGTTGGAAAATCTGTTGGTAAAGTCTCAAAGGAAGCCAAGGGCAGGATGGAATAGGAGGCTCATATAATCTATAGCTTTGAGAAAAGATTTAGAACAATAAAATTCTACTATTGCTCCAAGTAGGGATCCAGATATTGAATATTGGTCTTAATGCATTGTAACACTGATGTGCTGTTCTTGCTTTTATTTTAGGTCATTAAAGATAATGGAGCTCTCTATGAGAATAACTGGTTAAATAGATAAATTTAATCCACTGTGTTAACTTTAATGGAAAGGACAATGAATATTGAGAATTGCAGCTAATATGCTCAAAATTAGATGCTGAGCTATTCTTCCTTCTCCACAGTGGTCAGTTTTTGTTAACTATGTTAATGTTCAGAATTACTCTATAGCAATTGTAATTTAAGTAGGTCTTTTATTCATTGAATTCATACATGATGCTTGAAGTATCTTCTGGGGAAATCAAAATTAGAAAATATAGGGAAAATGTAAAATGTGAATCTATATAAGTCATAATCCAAATGACGTCTTTATTATTATCATGTCTACAGAGAGGTTCTTATGAGCAGCATTTTATTTTCCAGCAAAATGGGTTGCTTAGAACAACACACACTGTACTGGCTACAGAATATTGTTAGCCAATTTATAATGTCTGCTTAAGTACACAAAACAACCATGTGGTCTTGAATCTTCAATAATTTCAAGTACATACAATTCTATGCATAAATAAGGTCAATTTGCTGAACAGTTACACCCATCTTCATATAGAAGATAATATTTGTATATATGAAATGTCCATGTAAATGTCTATATGTATTTTGATATATACTTCTCTTAATTTCCTTCTCTTTATATTTCTTGTTTTCAAATAAAATGTAATGTGTTGACATTGCTCTATAATGAAGCAGAAGAGCATGCTGTGAGTGATTATTTTTCATACTTTCTAACCAGAAAACATTAGGAATACAAACATTTTTATAACTTACAAATTTCTGATCTTTCTTCATGGGTGTATGTGTATGTTTGTAAATATATACATGCTTATTACATATATGCATACATGCAATAATATGAAAGGCATTTTTTATAGCCCTGATCTTCTTGAGCAGATGATATCTTAACTGAAAACACAAAGTATTTTTGTTCCCCTTCCAAATATTTTAGGAATCTGCTTTGGAACAATTTTATAAGTACTTGTGAATTTAAAACATTTATATAGCCATCTATTATACAGGAGATATGTGACTAGTTCCAAACCAACAGTTTTAAAAGAATGTAACCACACAATTAATATATACATATATCTATTAAACCACAAATAGTAAAAACTGAGCACCATAAAAATTTTTAACAAGCGGTCCAACACAAAAACTCTCTCATCAGTCTCACCCTATCTCAGTACTTGACAGAAAAGCCAGATCTTAAGTGCTTTACAGAAGACTAAGTTAGGGACCTGTTAAGGCCAGCTAGTTCCCTCCTAGGGGACTAAGGGGGGGGGATGGGTGTTCCGTAGGGGAGGAGCTGACATGTAGAAGGCACACTTCCTAGACCTCATAGGATGTCATTGTTTAAGAGATGGGACCAGGAGTGTGCCCACCCTATCTTATCTAGTAGGATTAATAGATGAGCATAGTGAGAAGTCCCATACATAATTTGGTCCCATATAGACTTTTAAAGTTAACAACCAAAACTTTAAACTACAGCCTGGAGGAAAGTGGAAGTCAATGCAGCTCATACAACAGAGATGTAACATGAGCCAATTTAGAAGCACCCATCACTAGTATGCCACCATATTCTGCACCAGTTGCAAATTCTGGATGAACTTCAAGAGTAGCCCCATCTATAGCACATTGAAGTAGTCCAGAGAGGAAGTAACCAAGGCATGTGTAAGATCTCCCATTCCAGGAAGGTGGTAACTGGTCTTCCAGACAAATCTGTGAAAAGGCCCCCTAGCTACAACTGCCACTCATGCAATAGCTACGAGCCTAGGAGAACCCCAAATTGTGTACTAGCTTGGTCCAAGGAGTGCCATCCCCTCCAAAGTCAAAGATGAAATATCTTCTGGGCCTGGGAAGGGCAAAAATGCAGAACTACTCCTATCTTACCAGGATTGAAGCTGGCCACAGCATCACTTGCCTGGCTAAGGATAGAAATGTATATTATCAATAACACTACACATATCAATGGATGACACCCCCAAATGTTTTCATATAAATCACAGGTGTCAAACTCAAACACATTACATGATGTCTCGTGATGGTGTTTGCCTTTGCGGAGCCAGGATGGGCGTGGCCTGCATGTGATGCATCTGGCTCGTCAGCTGCCAGTTTAACCGGCCTGATATAGATGTTAAAAAGAGGCAAAAGATTGAAGCCACAAGGCATCCCACATTGTAGGGACCTAGCATTTGACTTCCTCCCCACCAACATCAAATGGAACTGGATGCAAAGGAAAAGGGAGAAACAATTCTCCTAAGTTACTCCTAAGTAAACATTTTTCCTTATTATAGCTATCAAGTGTCATTTAAAAATAGGTTTTTTTTCTTTTACTATTTTCCAACCTATGATGATAATATTACAGGTCAATCTGATGGACTGACATCTTACTCTCAGCTGTTTTACAGTAACAACAAATCAAAGATTCTCTTTTTTCTAAATAGATTACTCAAAAAGAAGAGTTGAGGGGAAAAAGACTAGAAGATGGGCTGGATGTGAAGGATCTTGGGAACTTATTTCTGGTGAACATCCTGACTGTCAAGGTTCAACATATTCCCAAATACATTCTTTTCTCAAACTTGAGCATAGGATAATCTTCCTGATCTATTATTGTGTACCTGGTTTCATTTGGCTTGCTTTTAAGTAAAAATAATACAAATGATGTACGAGAAAAATAACAGAAAGTATGCAAAGTTAATATAATGTAAGTGTGCAAGAACATCAGTGGAAGAATTGTGATCTAAAATATAGGTTGGTTGACAATGCTCAACAAAGCATTGATCTCAGCTTTTTCTCAGCAAATTATTTTTATGCTGTTGAAATTAATTGCTGATTCATATGTAATTTTCAGTTTTGTCAGTCTTTATAAACTGCACAAGGTCTTTAGATCAAACCGCTGATTAAATCCACAATTACTCTTTAAATAAATCATCAACTAGACTTTATCTGTTGAATTAAATAGATGCTTTCTTACCAATATTATGTTGATTTAATGTCACCTTTCTGAATTCCAAGAACAAATTTGCAATCAAGAAAAGAAAAATTTTCCTGGGAATTTCTCATTCTGACAGTCTGTTTCTCCCCCCAACTCCAAATGTGCTAGAGTTACAGCTCCCCGGAGTCACTGATTATATCAACTGGGAACTTTACTATTTGGAGATGTCTGTTCTATGCTATCCAATTAATTTGACTGTCATCAT